GAAAACGTGTTTTTCCATTTGATAAGACCATTGTAATGGAAGTTCATTTAACAGGAAGCAGAAGTGTTATTTGGGAAAAAGACAGAGGTTTGCCTTCCAGAAAACTTTAAGTTGCTATATGTAAATTTGGTCTCTCTTGAGTGTTTTTGGACTTTAAAGAAAAGGATGCCATCAGGAGCCAGGATAAGACATTTCTGCCAATGGCAATTGTTGCACAGGGTCAGGATGGTGCAGTGTTACACGGGGAAGATGGGTTCTGGAGTCTAACTGCTTGAGTTAAATCCATCTTTTACAACCAGCTGTGTAATCTCAGGCATGTTCACTCCCGTAAGGACCAAGGTCCTTGTCAGTAAAAGGGAGATCATTTGAGGACCTGACTTGTGGACTGGGCATAGGAGTAAAGGAGACAACATAGATAAGAAGAGTGTTTAATGCAAGGATTGCGTGCAGTAAGCAATTAATGTTTGATACTTTTTTGCATTCATTAATACATTTTCAATAATTTCCCAAGTTGTGAGCAAGATGCATGTATCAGGAGCAGAGTACATGGAAGAAAGGAATTGAAATGGAGAAAAGAGAAAGTGCAGATGAAAAATTTCTCGGTGTTTCAGTTGCTACAGCATGTAGTGGTAGAACTGTCCTAACAACTTCCTTTAGATATTATTGTCTCATCAGCTCAGGAGCACAGAAAGGTCCACCAGACAGGTCACTTCACGATTGGCTGTGTGACTAATTTTGAGTGAATGTCACGGTTGATGTGGCTCTCTCTTTTCCAAAGAAATAAAACACAAAGCAGTGTCCTTAGAACGAGCCCTCTCCAGGACAAGTTTCAAAGCCTGTTAGAAATGCTTGGGGGGTGCCCACTAAACTGCAGTCTGTTATGTAAATATTCTATGGTTACAGGCAAACTATTTGGGGGAATCCATTTGATAATAAACAATATGCTTACAATCAGAATATATAAATTCTGCATTATGAGCTGACAATCTGAAAGAATAAAATGTTCAGCTATTATGTCACAAAAAGAACAGAACTTGGGAGCAAAGCGTGGGGACTTTTCACCTATTTAATGTATTAAATCTCTAAAAGTTTCACTGGTAAGTATTTAATAAGTTCAATTTAAATAGGAACAGACTTAGACATTCCTCTCTTTTTAACATGTTGGACTGGTTTACCAGATTCAAATCAAGACGTCCTGGAATTAAATTTCCACATGAATAAGATTCAGAAAAACATCCAAATTGATATTGAATGAGCAAAACTTTTCGAGGGTAATTTTTTTTTCTCTAATATAGAGGTTCATGATTCACCTGACAGCTAGAATGGTAACTGCAGTTAATAATTGGAAGATTTGTGGTATGAAAAATATTATCGTATAACTGAGAAACAAAATTCGCTAGTAATTTATTTAAAACTTTGATTTTATCTACTTAAAAGTAGAAACATTTTTATACTTTTCTCAATAAGGAAGGTTTAAAAGCACCTACCACAATGTCTCAACAGAGAAAGTACTCAATAAAGGTCAGATTTAAATTTTAGTGGAATAGAAATGAGTTCTTAGCAGTACCTAACAGGAGTTTCAGATTTTTTATTTCCAAGTACTTGTTTGTGACAATGAATCCTATCAAGTCAACATGTATGTAATGTTTCTTTCCTCTGTCCCAGGCCCAGGTCCCAAGAAAAGCAAGCCAGCAATACACCATTGGTAAGGAAAATTAAGCATTATATCTTTGGTGTCTGTCTAGGAATAAAACAGGTTGAGGTAAAAGAACACAGGATCTCAAGATGTGGCTCATAATTTCCTTCTTAATTTAAACTATTCCATACGTTAAACTGCAGACAGATGTTACAAACACACTTTATCATTGGCACATTCATAATCAACACATAATCAAATGATTCAATTTCATTTCCCAACCTTAGAATCAATCAGCCCAAAGACCATTCTCACTTATAATTTCATAGCATTGCATTTTCAAAGTATTACTAGTACTTAAAATAAACAAATAAAAGGCTTGTGGGGCCCAATTAGGAAAGGAACATGGACTAAATTTTCACAAATATCATGAAGATAGAAAAATTCATGAAGAATTTCACTTTGACGGAACCTAATACACTGACAGTAGTAATGTCATGAGATGTTTGGTCAAGAGACCAAAAAGTTAACACACTGGAAACTTGACAAGCAAGGAAGCCAACGGGAGGATAATTAGTCAGGCAATTAGAGAAACCATTGGATGGTTAGCATCTTGTTGCTAAGCAATGTTTCGAGGCAGCAGATCTCACATCTTACAGGATTAGAACATTTTATTTTTATTTTTTAAAATACAGTATGTTTTTCAAATTGATTATGCGTAGTTGTGTTTGTCAACTTTTGGATCTCTCAATTATCTATATACCTATGACATTTATGAGCTATCTAATTGATAAGAAATAAAGATATTGACTGGATGTCAATATGGATGATAGCCCTCACTGAAATAAAAGTTGTACACTCACCATGTAGTAAATGATAGAGTTTGCATATGGTCATATAATAAAACCAATCAGAGAGGGAAAGATGCCTTCAGTGATGTGCCTATTGTAGCTGAATAATGAAATACAAAATATATTTGAGGTTCATTAAAATATTTAAGTAAATTTAGGTATGAGAATATCTTTACTTTAAAAACACTGAACTAGGACTTGGTACTAAAGAAAATATCTTTGATATCTACCAAAAAGGACAAATGTAGGGCAATTTTGGTATTTCAAACATCAAATTATATCACACAAGTATAAAAAGTGCTGAGATTGGCTATTCAACGTAAGTTGCCTTCTAAGTATCATTAGTTGAACTTTTAAAATAATAGTGATTAATATCAGACAGCTGAAGAAAAAGAAAACTGGGTTGGTTGGAGTAAGAGCACTGGTGTTTATCACCCTTGCTCTCTTCACAGAATCCCTCAACACTTCATGTTATAGAACTCACCTAACTTTCCCCCCACTCTCAGGCTGATTCTGGTCACTTGTGCTGACTCCTGCACATGCCCAGTGAGGAAAAAGGGAAGATGGTAAGTACACGTGCTTCCCAAAGAGAGTTTTCAATTTCTCCAAAGGGTGCCAAGTATTTAGACAGTCAAAATAACGACAGAAAGTATCACCCATTCCTTCTTCTTTTTGCTTTTCCTTCTTTTGTCTCTTCATCACTTCCCCCCCACCCCAAGCATGAATGTTAAATTATTATTTTTTCCTCTATATTACAATGTTTTATACTAGGCTTCTTGGTTTAAAATGAGAGTTTTTCTACAATTTCCCCCTGCCAATATTTTGATTGAAATCCTACTCTTTCTTTTCCCATCTAGGGCTAGGACAGCATGCCAAATTTCTAGTGGAAAAAGTCGGAGATGGCTTAGAGACAGGGATGAGGCTGAGTTACTTTGTTGTTAAGGGTGGAGGGAGAAAGAGGGGGGAGGGAACACAGGCGTAGCTCCACCACAGAGCTGCAGAGTGGATCTTGGATTGTGGGAACTAACATTACTTCCCACGATGGTACTTCACCGTTATTTGAGAAAATTAACCCACTGTCTCTCTACTCACAGGGAAGAATTAGGCTGCTATCTGGTCAGCCCTACAATTGTCCCAAGCTGGAAATAAACTAATTAAATTTAGAAAGTTTCATTTTAGTCTTCTAAATGTAAGCAGTTTCAGTAGCTCATTTGGCCTATTACTTTACTTATGTCTTTTCTTTCACAGAACTAGCACTTTCAGTTTATTCAAAATATGGCCAATTTATCAAAACCAAACAGCATCACACCTAAATCATGGCTTACTTGATTTTTAGATGATGAAATTAATACAGGATTGACTACATTTTTTTTGTTATTAAATTTTTACATATGTAGGTTCATCACAGCTTAAGTATTTTGAAATTATTTTCAATAACTGGCTTGTGTCATGCCATTTCATTGCCGGGGCCATTTAAATATACCTTTGACATGATTTGTGAATTTGGTGTACAGATTAACTCAGAAGATAGAAAGACAAGCACACTCATAAACACATGAATGATCCAATAAACAGACAACCTAAAAAAGTCCTACTGAGCTAGGCAAAAACGTTATTTCTTCCTTGTTGAAGGTATCAGCATATGTTACATCTTATGTTGCACAAGTGTACTCATTAAATATTATGAAATGTACAGCAGGCTGGGAAGCTCTAACTAGCTAGTCAAAGTCACTCATACCTGTGTGTTCGTATTTATGTCGCAGAAGGGAACTGCTTTTCTGGAATGTCTTGTCACATAAGTCACATGCATACATGCCACTCTCTGTCTTCTTGATCTTCTTTCGAGACAGACAGGAGTCGGAGTCTGTCATGTCATCTAGGCCTGACATGTAGTCTTGTGCTCCATCAAGCAATTCTCCCTGTGATAGAATCACACAGTTCAACACAGTCTCTTCTCTTTGTGTTTATACCAAATAACCTCACATAGGCTGACATTTGGAGAATCTCAAAAGTGCTTGCTATTAATCAATCTAGTTGTTTTTCTTAAACTTATTACTTTCCATAAACAACATATGAGGTCTTACATTTCAACAAAAATAGAAACCTTCTCTGCCCTAGATGGTAGAGCTAATTGTTTTCCAAGGATAGAAAATGGTCAACTCTGAAGGTGAGAAAAACATGAAATTTTCTGAAAAATCCTTAATTTTCTTTATATCAGGACATATCCATGAGTGAAAATTCAACATCAGAATTTGTGTATTTTCCAGTGTGCTTAACTTTAGAAATGATCAGTAGCTGTACAGACCTCATTTTAATTGAATATTATATTTAGGTACAAAATGTTATTATTATGCAATCTATTTAAATGTATGTCTACCAACTAAGGGCCTCGAGCTATATTTTTATATTTAATTTTCTAATTTGAAATAAGGAATATTAATAACACTTTTTATCAATGTTCTATCTATGTTAAAACAGCCTTCAGCATTGAGCAATAATGAATGTGGATCAGTAAATTATTAAATTTCTTGATATTTATTTTGTCTTGATCCAAAGGAGTGCAAACTTGCATGATAACATATATTTCCATTTGCTAGTCCACAGTTCAGTTTTCTTAGACTACGTTTGCACTAATTAATATTAGAGAAGATTAAATAGGCTTAAATACATTTACAAAGAGGGCAGATGTACTATAAATTGGAATACTGGAACAGCTGTCATGGAGGTGCACAGCTACTTATGCTCCTATTTTGCAAAAAGGGATTATACTCCATGATGTTAAAACATACCTGCTTTTGTATTTGAAAAACTGTAAATTATTTACTAGTTTGAAAATTATACAAAAAGTCATGTGGAATGTAAAAAATATAAGTTTTTAAAAATACGCTTCAAAATAAACTATTCCCTGTTAAACCAAGTACATATCAAATTCATACTTGCATTATTGAAAATTGTAAACATCTGTTAAAGTATATGACTATTATAAATGTTAACTTTTAGTATCTAGGTAAATTATAGCAAATATTGTTATCAGTGTATAATTCTAAAAGCAGATGTATCGATTTAAACAAATCTCAAAAATAAATATGAAGTTCTTTATCTTTTTTAAGGCAAAATGTGCTTAAATAGTAGCATTCCACTGTTTCTCCATTTAACTTTCTACTTTGGATTCAAGTTAAAAACAAACTCATCTCTTTCTGCTGAAATCCTAGCGCTTGATTTTTTTCGCTAAGATTTTTTTTTCCCTACACCTACATAAATAATTTTCACCTAGTCTTTTCACAGCAAAAAGATATATCACCTTACCTGAAATCCTTGTTTCCGTTGGTACTTTCTCCTTTGCTGCATATCAGCAAAAGTAGCTGCTCCAGTTGGGTAGGTATAGGCCATATGTGGTAGGAAGCTCATCTGATCCAGTCCTGGGTATGGTCGTAGCCCAGGGATACTGGTCTGGACTGGTGGCATGAAAGTGGCAGGGGGAAATGCGCTTTGTGGAGGAAGAGCTGTGTATAAAGGTTTGGCACTAAATGGGTTCATGCCGAACACTGGGTTAGTGCTTTTGTCCAGATTATTTGAATTTGAAAACTCCTTCTTGATAAAAGTCAAGTTTAGAGGCTCATCTGAGTTTTCAGATGATGAAGAAACACTGTTATGGTCTAAACTTATGCTGCTAGCTTTTGTTTTGTTCTTTGTGGCTATAATACTTTTGGGTTCTTTCATTTGTTTTGGTAATGACAAGTCCAAAGGTTCAGCCTGGAGCTCCTCGGAAGAGAAGCTGTTTGGAGTGTAAGAACTACTGTGGGAGTTTTTAGAAGACGTGGAGGAAAGATTTAAGGGAGAAGGAGTGTTACTCCTTGAGTGGTCCAATTTTTCAACTGGTTTAATATTGGTAAAATGGGAAGGTTTTGTTAGCCTGAGAGGAGGATCACAATTCGTAACACTGTTGTGGAGTTCTGCTATAGATGGTGATGTGATGGAGTCCATAGGTTTTACAGGAGACCTGGGTAGTAAAGAGTCTTTTGTGGGAGGGTTACTGCTGGGAGCTAACGGCTTGGAGTTCCTTTCCAGTGATGGTGACCTGGAATTTGAATACTGGTAGACTTTTCGTTGCTCAAACCATTCCTTCACAAATTCCTGAGGAAGGCCCACGGCAATGGAAATTTTCAGCAGTTCATCAGAGTTGGGCTCCATGTTCATAGCATAATATGCTTTAAGTACAGACATGTGGTCCTTGTATGGGTTGATGGGGCTTGTCATTCCTTTCTCAGAAAGTACAGATGACAAGAGGAGGGCTTTATTATCAACAAAAACTCCGGCTTTGTTGGGGACTATGTTTTCATGAGGTTGCAGGACTGCCTTGATCTCTTCATTCATTTTACAAAGGTAACGTTCATGCTGATGCAAGGGAATGGGGCCAGGAAAACTTTCTTTACAGAACTGGCATGAAAACGGAGTGGCTATGTTGTGGTTCTCAATCATTTTATCATCGGTGACCAAATCTATTAAAGTACGTAGCTTCTCTTTCTTTATGTTACTGATCTGTCTCCTGGAGTCAGTAGTCAAGCTCTGGAGGCAAGCTTTGGCTTCATTGACTTTTTCTAATGTATAGTCAATAATACTTTTAGTGGCACCATTATGACTCACTACTGGAAGACCTACAGGTGGAATATTAGGAGAGGTAACTCCTTGTTCCTCAGGTTGAGAGCATGGATCCTTCATGTGATAACCTTTCAACTTTGAAATTTCTTCAGCCTTGCAGTCCATTTTTTGCCTGGAAACCGTATTGTCCACAATCTGTAGAACCTTTTGTACCTCGCTTAAATTACTATTCATTGTGGGAAATCCGAGTAAAGGGGCTTCCATCCCTACCCCTAAGTGCTGCATTGGACTCTGAGCAGATGGATGAACTCCTAAAGGGCTGGTGGCTCCAAGTGCACCGTTCATAAAGGGACTAGTGCCGCTAAACCCGTGTGTGGCCATAAGAACTTTATAGTCATTGAAGTCTAGTGGTTCTGTTTTAATTTTCAGTAAGCCTGTTTGTTCAGACATACTAAGTGGTTTTCCATTCTCCAATTTGTTTCTTAACTGTGTAATGGCTGAATTAGTAGGAGAAGAAGAAACAGAATTAGGGGAAGAACCCGTCTTGATATTATTTCTCATTCGGCCATTTACAGAGATTAAACCAATACATTTCTTGCTGCTGATGTGTGAACTGTAGGAACCAGAATGGGAGAAACGTTTCTTGCAGTTTGGGCACTCGTACGGTTTTTCACCTAGAACGATAATTAAAATTAGCATTATATGCCTTTGATTGAGTAACACCTGCAATTGTCTACCACAACAAGAATCTGTACAAACTAAATGAAAGGAACATAATGGGGTACCTCTACATTCTAGGTGCTTAGATTAGAATTATGTGGCCATAACTGTTTCTGGGTTTTATCTACCCTGGAAGAACATAATTCAAGATGTTAGCCATGTAAGGTGAGGGCTATCTCGGCCTTTTTCAGCCAACATCCCAAATCTTGTCTTGCCATCGGCAGCCTCCTATTTAAACATAATGTCAGAGTAATGTGTGGTCAATAGCACAATAAAGATGTCACAGTATTTAAAGGGAAGTGTAGCCCTGGCTTTAATCAACTCTGTGGAGATTCCATTGATTCCACCAATCCAACTAGTCCTTTGAATAACATCCAATTTGGTAATAAAATGCTTGGCAGAGCTATCAAAATAGTTATAGTGGAGAAATCTCAGTGGTAGGATATTGTTCTGTAATCTACAGCTCTCAGGAATCAAGGAACGCGTATCATATAAAAGCTCTTTCACAAAATGTTTCAATTGTTTTCTTTCACGGTTAGGTATCAAAAATGAACATCCTTCATAATTTGCCAGCTGAGTTTCTTCAGGTCAAAAATATGTAATCTGTAAGAGTTTTGAAAAGGACAAAAAGGAGCTTCTAGATTTTGTAATAAATCAAAATACGAGCAACTTTTAGGCAGGAACAGCATTCCTCCTCTTGCTTACCACCAAGATCATGCTGTTGGTGGTAACGCAAGTCTCATGAACACCAAGCAGGCACACATAGTTTATGAAATAAACGGATAGTTCCAAAAAGCTACAAACAGGGTTGTGTAAATTTAAAACAGCCTCTTAAAATTCCCCTAACGAAACAGAATGAAAATGCGAGCACCAGCACCTCTGCTACTCACCACTGTGAATTCGCAGGTGTTCTTTCAGATGGTGTTTATATTTGAAGGCCTTGCCGCACTCTGTGCATTTGAACTTGCGATTACCTGCTCCTTGGGTCAGCATTTGGTGCTATAAAAGAAAGACTGACATCAGTTTTGTGCAGGAGGAACAAAGGAAATTTGTTACAAATATTTTTAAAAGGCCTCTATTTTTCAGACAGGCCAAAAGGTTCGAGTGCACGTTTATTTATTTGCCCAGTCTTTCAGAGTTGCAATAAAAGTGATAATGTTGGCAATAAAATCGGAACAAAAAAAAAAGTGTTTTCACATGTGCATCCAACAGTTGCTTTAGCATTATCTCGGTAGTATCTTTTCCAAAATGTGTCTTTGAGCCTTTGGAGAGGAGGACGCATAATTGTAAAGATGTTTGTGGTTCTCTGTGTTTACTGCAAATTCTAAAATCTCAAGATTCCCTGTCGTCAGGCAACTATTTTGTCAAGAAAAAAAATAAATACTACCCTGAAAATTCTAAATAGTCTCCAAAAAACTTCCCACAGAAATAAATGATTTTATCAATTTTCTTATACTGAAGCAATACTAAATTTGAAGAAGGAAAAAAAACCAAAACCTCACATACAAACAAAAAAATCCTTGACTATAAATACTTCATTCGTTACAGGATAAGCATGTTTAAATAGCCCTTTCACTGTACCAGTAGCAAATGTAAACCCTGTTTTTCCTGAGGTGTTGCATATCAGATTTGATTCATTATCAAATGTGAGAGACAACATCTTGGGTTATAGCTACTTGAGCAGTTTTATCACAGGCCAATAGGAAAGACTTCAACGACTTTTCATTTTCCTTTTTCAGTACTGTGCTAGGGAGTAGGGACAAAAAAGAGAAAAAAAGTTTTCTGAAAAGACACGTTAAAAGCAGTGAAGATATAATCCAACACAGCTGACCTTTTTGAACAAGAGAAAAAAAGCACTGTGACTTAGAATCCTGAAGGAAAAAAAAAAAAATACAGTCATCCACTCTGGATGCTCAAGGTAGGAGGTCAGCCTTTTTCAAGCAGCAATGACACAAAAGCCTTTTGCAAAAAAGACAGCACAGAAACGGTATGACAACTGCTAGGGTGTGCTGAATCTTCCCACATTCCTAGTGAGACAGATGGTGTTACATGGGACACAGGGAGGTTTGTTCAAACAGCAGCAACCTTCAAAGATCAAGCGGAGCCCAGCCCGCGGAGCGCCATTGAGGGACCAGCGCTCATATGTTGCTGAGTTGCATAAACAAACAGCAACAGCTGCTTTGTCTCCCCCCACAGCCCTCAGAGGACTACTATAAACTTTAGTTGTGCCACTGTTAATATGATACAATCATTTTAATTTACTAATTGTAAATGCCATGAGCAAATGAGGGGACTTTTCAACACCAAAGCTACCATTCATAATGCGCCAACACAATCACACTTCTGCATGTGAAATTTAAAGCAGTTATGCTAGATAAATATCTAGGCACTTTTTTTTTCCTAGAGTTTTTGTGCATACAAGCGAAGGGAGATAAACTGTTACATAAGTGTAACTATGCAAGTGTAGTTCTTATAACTGAACTTTGAAAAACATTCAGGTGACAAGCCCAATTAGATACAAATGGAATGATTTATGTGACCTGTTCTCTTAAAATAGTAGAATTCTATAATGCAGTATCATCACCATTGCTTGATTGTTTTGCTTATTCACATTTTCTTTAATCCAAGAGAATAAAGCCCATAAGAAAAAAAAGAAACATAAAAATTTTATAAAGTATCCTGTTTAATAATTTTTAAAACAGATATGGTGGCAAAGCTTATATAGGGTGATTCCAGCTCAGTAGGCCCAGTTATTGGGACTTAAGGCACACCATTTCTGTTAGCATCCGAACATATCATAATATCACTCTGCAGTCAATTCTCCCAGGAGGACAGAAAGAGCAGTTTTGCTAAAACATTTAAGAGACACTGTGAATCAATCATATTCAATCGTTTTAAGGATTTAAGAAGCTCTGCTTACCTGTCCAAGATAGAGGTTTTATTTTTAACACAGTAAGCCCAAAAAGGCAAAGTAATTTTCACATTTAGCAACAAATATGAATATCAAGAAGGGATCATTTTTAATGTATATCCAACATTTTAGTATTAATCCAGTTTATTTTTAATATATACACACATCTATGCTTTTAATTTTTTTCCCTTAAAACACTTAATTAGATTTCATAAACTAGTAGCAGCTTGTAAAAATACTCTAAGTAATTGAAGGTGTTATGCGACAAATGAAAGAAATACTTCTTTTACTATGGCTTAGATCCTATATGAAAATAAAATTCTGAGTAAAACGGGGTAAAAAATGGAATTAAAATTGCTGAGATGTTTAATAATGTATAATTAAAATGCTACAATTTCATTCACTTTTTGTGGAACATAAAAATGAAACTAAAGTCAAGTTAAAGTGCAAATAAAATTTCTAAATTAGAAATTAACACACTCATTCGATCGTGAACATAAGACTATTAAATCATATTAGAAGAGACCATCAAAAAATCATTTAGACCTCAATTAAAGCTATTACCATTAAAAGATCTGCATCTTCAAAATGCCATGAAAAATTAATAATGATTGCCAATCAAAGCAATATCGTTTCTCTAAGGGGTTATTATAGAAAGAAATCACTTAAAACCAGCCCCCCACCTGATCTGTCCCTGGCTTGTGCGTCACCATATGCCGCTCGAGCTGGGTGCGGTAGGCAAACGTGTAGCTACAAAGAGGGCAGGAAAAGTTCTCTTCATTCTTCTCGTGGCGGTACTTGATGTGCTCCTTCAGTGATGTCAAGCGCTTGTAGCCCCGGTCGCAGTAGGGGCAGGTCAGCAGTTGGGCAAAAGCATCTGGAGTTCCAGGTGGCAGGTCTGTAGCCGAGAGACGAGAGGGAGAGAAGCAGGCCAAAAGGTCAGTAAATCAATGGCAGCTAATGGGCTGACTGCCCGGGATGGTATGACAGGAATCACTGCAATCTGCTCCACGAGAGTGCCATCATTGCACTCGGCCTCCGTGCACACCAGTCCCCTCGCACACCCAGGACAGACTTGTTGGAATCAGCTCACACTGCGCTAGAAAATTAATTAATTACTTGAGCTTTTTTGGGGGAAATTTAAACAGCTGATAAATGAGGAAATTCTCTTCAGGTGACTGACAGTTCATCGTAAACCTTTAGTCACGTATGACTCAGGAATTCACAGTGTGAAGGAGCTTTTCAGGTATCCATGAAGAAGAACAAAAGGTTAGGGTCAGTGTGGCTAGACTTTTTTTTTTTCCCCTCAAAAGTGAAATTTTTCAGAAAGCTAGGAATCAATTTAGATATTTTTATCTCTTAGAAATAGGCTCTAATTGTTCTTGTTCTTTATTGGATGTACAAATGACACAAATTTGCTGACAAAAAAATTTCACAATACCCTAAAATTACAGTTCTAATCTTTGCTCATGAAATTCCATGCCTCTGCAGCTGTTCTTCAAATTTTAAGGTAAACACCCAGGCATGTAGTGCATTTGTAATTGTAACAGCTGCAGAGGTCAGTATAGTGGCTAAAAATGAATTACAGCCTCACCATTTTCTTCTTGCCCATTGGCCTCCGGCGTGCCAAGGCGAGACAGCTCCTCAGGGGCCTCTGGGTAAATAATGGCTGTGTCACTGCGCTGAAGGTACTCCTCAATGCTGACTGCATGGCCATCGCGTTCCTCCAGTTTCCTTTTGGCAAAGTACTCCTCAAAGTCTGATGTGCAATTTGCATTCTTAACTGAAATCATAAAAGGAGAATAAATGTCTTTTCAGGGCCTTTTTCCTTAGAAGCCCCAGCCTGCTTACATCATTGCTAGTAAGAAATATTGACTGGCAAAAAGACTACAAATACCACTTTATTTGTAAGAAATGTCACAGACGACCGATTATTGGTTGAATGCTTAGTCTCATAAAATATATCAAAAAAAAAAAGAAAGAAAGAAAAGGAAAGGACAGTGCTTTAAGTTAAATAGGCACATTTTCTTTTGTTCCAGGAATACTGACCACATAATTCACAAAGAAGGAAAACAAATTTTTTAAAAATATTTTTTATGGAAAATTTTTGAAAAACAGAACTACATTCTAAGATTCATAAACATGAGAAATAATACAAGCTCAAAGCTACTTTACTAGTCTATATAAAACTTCCTTTTCTTTGAATAAAGTTATGCTTAATTTTTTATTGTCCACTAAACTTAACGTTCCTAACCACATATACATCCTGTTGCTAAATATAAGCTTTTAACCCTCCACTCTGAATATCACAGATGACCAGGCCTACATAGCCTGAGACAGATGCGAAAGGACAAATATTCCTAGAGAGATAATAATGCGACTTTTGTTAAAAAAAAAATCATGAAATGTGGTAGTTTGTCTTTTCCTATAATTTCAACATTTAACTCAGTATTTTAAAGCTGCTAAAAATAAAATTAAGCTTACAAATGATAGAAGTAAAATAAAAAGTAACAGAATGAGTTAAGAAAATGGCTATATGGCTGTGTGATTTTGATATTATTTTTAAATTTTGTAATTATGACTCTGTTCCCATGAAATGAGTAACAGTTGTAAATCAATTTTTGCAACTTGTGTCAAAGACTAACTATATTTGAAACTACTAGTTGTGTTTCTGAAATAAGCTGTGGCTTAAATATCCTAAATACATTTTTTATGCATAAGACAGCATTCAGAGAGTGACTATTACATTATACTCTAGAATAAGTAGGTGAAAAAAAATCCTTTGCTTATACAATTAATGGTGGAGCCCTACCTTCATAGTCTCTGAAAGCAGTTAACCTTGATTCCACTGTGAGATTCTTCATCTCACCTTCTCTGCCATAAAAGATATTATAGTACTTGTCATACTAATTCTGCTTGGCAATGTGTGGCAGGGTGATGTTCAAGCAAGTCAGTCCATTTTTATTTTTATTTTTGGCTTTCACTATTAAGAACTTGTGGATTATAGATGAGAATAGAAAGTGGAACCTTCCATTAATTCAACAAGTGTTTACTGAATGCCTGGTATGTGACAGTCATCATGTCTTGTTTTGACAAGCAAAAAAGAGATTCAGTCTCATGCTTCTGGAAGTCATGAGAGCAGTCAATTCAAGTGATATTATCTAAAAAATGAATATAACATGGCATACTCAAATAAGTATTATGAAAAGAAGTTGTATGGTGGTATGAAAGAAGTAACAGAGGGACCTGATAGAGTCTGGGAGATCAGGAAAGCTTTAGTTAAGAATACCTAAGGGCAGGGCCGGCTGAGTGGCTCAGTTGGTTAAGAGCTCGCTCAAGAGTTTGAGCTCTGAGCAACAGCGGTTCGAGTCAGCCCGAGCTGAGCAGCCGTGAGCTGCCAACAGGTGGCGGGATGGCTCAGCTAAAAAAAAAAAAAAAAAAAGAATACCTAAGGGCCGGCTGAGTGGCTCGTTGGTTAAGAGTTGGCTTTGGGAGTGTGAACTCTGAGCAGCAGGGCTGCCGGTTCGGATCCCACATGGGCCAGTGACGCTGCGCCCTCTAGAGCTAAGATGGTGAAGAACAGCTCAACCTGGAGCTGAGCTGCCATGAGTCGCCCGGACAGCGTAGGCTGCAGTGGGACTGCAGTGGGCAGCTGTAAACTGCCATAAGTAGCTTAAGTAGCCGGCAGCCAGCGTGAGCGGCTGGCAGCCGGCAGCCGGAGAGAGCTGCCAGGAGTGGCTGTGAGCGGTCATCCAATGGCCGGCGACCGATCTGCCTCACCCAGGAAGAGCGCAATGATGATACCAACATGGGCCAATGAAGTGATGTCCTCCACAACTAGACTGAAGAACAAAAGGACAGCAACTTGTCTGTTCCCCTTCCCCGATTCCCCAACGTTGTTCCCTCCTCCAATTTCCCAATAAAATCTTTAAAAAAAAAAGAATACCTAAAGTTTAACTTTAGGCGCTGAGGAATAGCAGCAGTGACTGGAAAGAGCATGCAGCATTTCAGGATCTAAAAGTACAGTGCTGGACTGCAGAGAGCGGAAGTGGAGCAGCGCGATGTTAAGGGCGGAACCAGACCGTGCTGCGTGTGATAGCCCTGTGAAGTATATGGGTTTTATTCTAAGAGAAACAGGAAGCCATTGAAGGGTATTAAGCAAGGAGGATAGTTGGATGAAGTTATGGATTATCTGCATTTTTTTTTAATGACAACTCTGGCTATAACGTGATAAGGATTGCAGGAAAAGTCAATTCTGGAAAATCGGTTAGGCGTCTCTTGCTATAGGTCAGGCCAAAGATGAAGGTTAAGGAATTGGTGATAGAGTCGACACGTAAGTGTCTGGTTTTGAGAGAGACTTCAGAAGTAAAATCACTGGACTTGGGGAAGAACTGGTTGTGCCAAAGAGGGTGAGGCTAAGGTCCTCCCTTAGGTTCAGGTTTTTCAAATTTGATGTACAGTAGGTGGCATTCACCAAAGCAGGGAGCTGTAGAATTCTAAAGACTTGAAACTATGAACTAGTACATTGGATTGAATAAAAGAAAACTGGGGAGCATTACACTTTGTAGACTATTTAACTAAGCACTAGAAATGCTAAATACGGAGATTTCAAACCTTACTCTTGCCATTCCTACTTCTGTTAATCTTAACAAGAGCAGCAGTGTGATTCCAAGACCCATATTTCCTTCAAATATAGGTTTGGAATGTGCAATTGTGGATTAAGATTTTATATCTTGAAATATTGCTTAAAACTTTTCTTTGACTCTAAAGTCTTACATGTTTTCTTAGGAGAATATGGACATAGAGTCAGATCACTTTTCCACTGATATACTCATGATGCTATGGATGTTTTCCAAAGGATACTTATTGGTGATGATTGTGATGGTGTCATTTAGTTTGCATCGTTAAGTCACTAGAGAGTATGAAGGAACTGCCAATTTGCACAAACTATATGTTTATTGTTTTGGATCATCAAAATAACTTCAGATCTATCAAAGTTCACCTTTTGCTTTTAAGGGCAAGAAAATATAAAGCAATCAAAATGGTGGATTCAAGACGAACCTCTTTGTAACAACTTGACTGATTTGACCAATGACTGACTTCTTTTCCAGCACTGTGGCAGTCAAAAGTAATGTAATAATGTAATAGCTCTCTTCTGAACCTAGACCTACTCAAATGTAAACGTCTCAAGACACGATTTAGTTAAGTTTTCCCAGAACATTGTCCCACTTGAAGATCTTTAGTCTTAGTAAACATGGATGGATGTACATTTAACATCCTAATTTTATCTTGATATTTCAGCAACTATTTGAATGATCTGGCTATCTTTACATGAATTTTAATTTGCATATGAATATTTCCATCAGAAATGTAATCAAATGCAAATTCAATTGGATTTGCATTAATAGCCTTTTGGCTTAAAAGGGAGGAAAATTCTGATTTTTCTGGATAGGCAAACTAAACTGCATGTAGATACATCACTGGTGTTTGGAGAGGCAATTCACTTGCTAGATCAAATTTGACCATGTTAGACTTCTATGTCAAGTGTGAGGGGACAAAAGACATCAAATCATGTGCTCTCATTAAGGATCACTTTTGATCATTTTTGTATGCGGAGCATTGAGTATATTGCCTAGAAATTAGTAGACTCTCAAGAATCATTTATGTAATATATGTGGAATAAATTATGTCTTTAACACTAATCTCGGTGTAGAAATCTTCTAGTAAAAGGAAGAATAAGATAAGATACCTACAGTTGAGCTAGAAACTTAGACCTACTATTCAAGCAACCGTAGAACAATTATGTGATAAACTGTAGTGAGGAATCATAAATGCTTGCAAGAATTCAATAGGGCCCAGATGAGTATTCAAAAAGGGTTTCATGAAGAAGATAGCACTCAATCATTTACATCTATTTGCTCTATCAGGATTTTTACTCATGTGGTATAGATATGCTACTAGTTATGTATCTCAATATCTAGAGTCACTTAAGTGGGCTTGGGTCTAGTCTTCCATGAACTAGGTATTCATCATCATGGATATAATGTGGGTTTTCCCTGGTGCTGCATGGGTACTAGTAGCATATGGTTTTCTTACCCAGCACAACATTCTCTTTTGCCTGAGAACAGCTTCCCATTTTCCCTATTGCCAAACCTTATGATACTCAGGGCAGCTGCCATGTTATTGCACGATCTTGCTCCCCTAGCCATAGTGGATTCTGCACCCGAAGTAAACCGGCCTTAGATTTCTATTCTCCCAGCCAAACTGTTGATTAGTCCAGGGGTAGCCAACAAATCCAACTGAGTTCAGTAAATTCCTTCACTATGATTTTAGGACTTTGTTCCAAAGAGGACATCAAGGCAGTTGTTGTTTTTTACTCCAAGTGACTGTAGCTATATGATGTAGAACAAAGGAATTGATATATCCCACGTAGAGTAAGAAGATTTACGAAGGGAGAGAATTAAGCAGATATACAGAGACAAGATGGCAAGTCCAGACAGTACATTCCTAGCTATATTTGTTCCTGAGGCCAAGCTGCACCTCTGTCTTTCCAATGGCTCTGTTTTCAACCCTCCTTAGATTCTGTGAGTGGGAACATTCTCTTTTCTAACTTTAGGTTGTGTTGTGTTTCAGTCTCTAAGATCCCAAATCACTCTAATTGTTATAATACTAGAACAAATAATGGGATTACATTCTGCTTATTCTCAACATTGTTAGGAGGGATGAAGTTTTGATTCTGTTTGGAAGTTCACATTTTTGGTTTTTGAAAATATTTTGTACTAC